TCGAACTGACCGATGATACACCATTTAAACAGCGAGCCAGAAAAATCCCACCAGCTATGTTTAAAGAAGTTAGAGATCACCTGACACAACTTTTAGATGCAGGTATGATACGACCATCGAAATCCCCATTCTCTAGTAACATCGTATTAGTTAAGAAGAAGAACAACGAGCTGAGAATGTGCGTGGATTACCGGAAATTAAACAGCATTACTAAGAAGGATGCATATGCATTGCCTAGAATCGAGGAAATTTTGGAGAACTTGGCTGGAAATAAATACTTTACAGTGCTCGATGCCAAGTCAGGGTACCACCAGGTAGAGATTAGAGAGGATCACAAGGAAAAAACAGCTTTTACTGTAGGTGCTTTAGGGTTTTACGAATTTAACAGAATGCCTTTTGGCTTGTCCAATGCACCCGCCACCTATCAGAGGTTGATGGAAGAGTGTTTGGGAGACCTGCACTTAAATATCTGCTTCATATTCTTGGATGATCTTATCATTTTCTCAAAGACACTAGAAGAACATCTGGAGAGATTGCAGCTTGTGTTCAACAAACTTAAAACAGCAGGATTAAAACTTTCCCCTAAGAAATGCAGCTTTTTCCAAGAATGAGTTAAATACGTCGGCCATATTGTATCCGAAAGAGGAATTGAGACGGATCCAAAGAAAACAGAAAAAGTACTCAACTGGCCAAAACCCCAAACACCAGAAGAAGTAAGGAGATTTATAGGTTTCATTGGATATTATCGACGCTTCATCCCAGATTTTAGTAAATTGTCAAGACCATTAACATCATTATTTCCAAGTCCAACCAGGAAGAAGGGTAAAACAGCACAGCAGAAATGGAAATGGGGAGAAGAAGAAGAAAATGCTTTTGAAAAACTGAAACAACATTTAGCCAAGCCACCAATTCTTGGATTTCCAAACTACCAGGAACCTTTTGAACTACATGTTGATGCGAGCCATCAGGGATTAGGAGCTGTTTTATACCAACAACAAGGTAAGTACAAAAGAGTCATCAGTTATGCCAGTAGAAGTTTAAGCAGATCAGAGAAGAACTATCCAGCACACAAGCTGGAATTCCTGGGATTAAAATGGGCAGTAACAGAGAAATTCCATGATTATCTATATGGACGCATAACAAGAGTATATACAGACAACAATCCGCTGACCTACGTTTTGACGTCAGCAAAGTTGGATTCAACAGGGCATAGATGGCTGGCTGCTTTATCGAACTTTGAGTTGGAAATTATTTAGAGACCAGGTAGGAATAACTCTGACGCAGACGGACTGTCAAGACTGACTGACAAAACAGACTCATCAGGTATGAGTATAATAATACCTAGTACAGTCAAACCCATCTGCCAAACCATCCAGAAACAGCCATATATTGAGAGCCTGGTAATAGATGACAACCTGCAAGAATTTGAGGACACAGAAGTACCAAAAGTTTTTGACCATCAGATGAATTGGGCCAAATTACAAGATGAAGATGAGACTGAAAGTTTGGAAAAAATACGTAAGGAGTGGAAAAAGACCAAGAGCAGGAGAATTATCACAGAAACTTATGCCACATGTTTTGTTTAGAAATTTTGACCATCTCTTCATTGACAACAACATTTTGTATAAAGAGACCAAGATTGATGATGAAGTTAAACATCTCCTTGTAATTCCAGTCCAGCAAACCAGTTTCATTCTTAAGGAGATACACAACAGATTAGGACATCCAGGAAGAGACAGAACAGTTTCATTATTGAAAGATAGATTCTTCTGGCCAAGAATGCTGCAGGATGTAGAAGACTGGTTGAAATCATGGTTGAAATCATGCAGCAGATGTGTACAGAGAAAATCTCAGACGAATCAAAGAGCGCCGCTAGTTAATATCACCACCACTTATCCATTAGAGCTAGTGTGCATGGATTATCACACGTTAGAACAATCAACAGGAGGCTACCAACATATTCTCGTCATTACCGATCATTTTACCCGTTACGTTCAAGCAGTCCCTACCAGAAATATGACAGCGAAGACAACAGTGGAAGCTTTGTTTAGAAATTTCATTATGGATTTCCTTTCAGACTTCATTCGGATCAGGGGGCAAATTTTACAGGTAAGATTATTAATGAACTTTGCAAAATTTCAGGTATTCAGAAATCTAGGACGACACCGTACCACCCCATGGGTAACGGTATGACAGAGCGTTTTAACAGAACCCTTTTTGACATGCTTGGTACTTTAGAATCGCATCAGAAAAAGAAATGGAAAGAATTTGTTGCACCTCTTGTTCATGCATATCATTCGACACGACATGAAAGTACTGGACAGACTCCGTATTTTCTCATGTTCGGAAGACATCCCAGACTACTCATTGATCTGGCATTCGACATTAACCAGAAGGACTATGGGAACCTTAACAGTTATGTCAAGAATCTTAGAGAACGAATGAAAGAGGCTTATAAGATTGCCAAGGAATCAGCAGACAAAGCCAGACATAAACAGAAGAAAGGGTATGACTTAAGATCTAGAGCATCAAACATACAGGTAGGAGATAGAGTCTTAGTAAAGATAGTTTCTTTTGACGGAAAGCATAAGATAGCAGACAGGTGGGAAGAGCAACCATATATTGTGAAAGAACAACCTAACAGAGATATACCAGTTTATGTGGTAGAGAAAGAGAATGGAAAAGACAGACAGAGGGTGTTACACAGGAATTTATTGTTACCGATAGGGTACTTAGATACTGATTCTGATGATCATCCACAAACCATACAACGACCAAAACCAAGACCAATACCTACACCAAGATCAAGAAAGATGCAGAGAGTGACTCAGAGAGTGAGATTTCATACCAGCTAGTAAGACTTCCTAACAATGTTGAAACCAACATTACTACGGAAGGAGGTACGCAAGAGATAGTTGAGACAGATGAGCTGCCACTGGGAGAGACTGAGGAATCCGGACCTCAGGAGGAGATATCAGAAGAATCTGACACTCCACCAGTCGCAGAGGATGATGATCATGCAACAACATGATGAAGATGTTGGCAAAGAAGCTGCTGCTGCCGCTGATGATGCTGATGATGATGATGACACGGTAGAACCAGTTACTCTCAGGAGAAGTACTAGAGAACGACGAAAACCTACATACTTATCAGACTATAAATGCCAGAGGATAGATCATGACTGGAAAGAGGAAGTTTTCATGCTTCAACACCTGATGGAAATTTCGGATAAGAGGTATGAAAATGTTTTATCAAATTGATTGCCGATGTAATGAAGAAATAAATACAATCATTATTTTAATCATGTTTTAAATTTCAGAGGCAAATGACGGGGACGTCATTTTTTCAACAGGGGGGAGTTTGTAATAATGGGTTATTTGTTATATTTTAAACTGTAAATAAATTAAATATGAAATAATTTAATAAACAAACTTACTGCCATAAATAGATAAATAAATATGAATTTAAACTTAAACTCCATTGATAATTACATTTACTAAACTTACTGCACACACTGCATGGTAGTACTTATTTTAGAATTAGAGTTATCTTTTCTTAGTTAGAATTCTTTAGTTCATTCAGGTATTTTTAGGAGAACCAGATTAGGTCAAGCATAGTCGATTGGCTATTCTTGTTATGCAGAGTTTTTATTGGTAGGTCATTGAGGTCAAATTCCTTAGTGAGTTTTTCTTTGTTATTTTAAATTCACTTTGAATCCAGCCATAAGCCAGAGTGCTGAGATATCCTATTGTCTAATATACATATAGTTTGATATATAATTCTTTATTGACTGGACATAAGACCTGATTACAGTAAGTTCTTTATTTTTTTTTACTAACACTTTGCTTGGTTGAATGAATGAGTATATGAATGAAATATAGTATTTGATGAGTTAATGGAAAATGTGTAAAATTATATAGTAAATGGTTTAAATGAATATAAATCTAAAGATCTGTTTTTAAAGTTACACTGATATAAGAAATATGCTTTATGATGAGATCTGACCTAAAGGAATTTGTAAATATTGTATATATTATAAGATTTAGTCAATACAACCATATGTTGTATAATATAGGTCAGATATAATGGTTTGGACGTGACACCCTGATTTATTAGAGGACAGCCTAGGTCCACAACTTGGTATTTATTTATATCATTACATATTTTTGAGAACTGTAAAATTTTTTGGTAAATTATATGAATTTACTTGAGTTTTTATGCATATGCTGAAATATAGTGAAATAAGAGTTATTTCCCTTTGATAATATTCATGAAGTGATAATGAGTAAATTAATAGAAATATCAGTGTAATATAGATTTTATGCTAATGGAATAATTTGTGATAAATATATACCTATGTTAATGTTATGAAATATTTATTATGTTTACATGTTTTGTAGGGTTGAAATCCATTTATATTTCTTGTCATCAATATTAAAAGAACCCACATCCAGAACTGAGTTTTCATTCTATATTTTGGGAAACCCGGTTTTACTATGCACTACATGTAGACAGACAATGGAATGTTCAACAACAAATAAGTTGTATATTACAGGCATATGTTATAATAAAGATTATGCTGTTTAAAAATGAAGTAAAAATTTATAAATCTATATTTAGATACCCTTCACAAGATCTCCAAATTTTGACTATTTTTAATAAACAAAATTAAGTGCACATGTACATTATAAATATTTTTTTTCTCCTCAAAAAAAATTAAAGTTCCATTTTTTAAAGATAATCAACCTTATAATAAAATTCAGAGTAAATATATTCAAGTGTTTCTTTCTTTACTGATCTGGTTTAAAATACATGTGTAATTACAATTTGTAATTCATATAGTTCAAGCATGCAATACCAGTGAGAGCTACATGTATATGTAGCTATTACTTCCCTTTTTTTCCCAAACATTTTCTATACTGTGATTGAATTAAAAAACAGTTTTAAGTTATAATACATCTTATCTTATCTTATTATTTTATAACCTATGAAGTCACCTGCATGGCACAGTGGCAAGAGCGTCTGCTCGAGAATCATGAGTAAGGAGTTGATTCTTAAATTGCTGGTTCAAAATCCCACAGTCGGACATAGAGATGAGACTGTATATACAGAGGTCCTGTTTTGCAGTAGGTGCTAGCACCAAAAAGATCCCTCATTGGTCAATTAGCCATGTGTGCCAAGTAAAGGACAAAATTTGCAGCTCTCCATCGGCAAATGTTGGCATCCCCATATGAGTGAAAAATTCTCAAGAAGAATGTTAAACAACATACAAATAAACTATAGAGTCTTTGAATATGCAAATTCTTTTTTTTCTGAGAAAGGGATCCTCAAATGATGTTTAGATATGGTTCATAAGAGTAGAAAAGTACTGCATCAACCCAGCTAGTCTTCATGAATTCAGCAACCATTTGTTATATGGCTTGAAAATATAAAATGTTAATGCATTAACATAAAAGTATATAATTGATATTTTTATAATTCATCATAAATTAATTGAATCAATAAAATAAAGTCACACTTGATATCTTGAAATGCTTATGGGACTGCTGAAAATACTGAGATATCCAAGAGATTCAGGGTAAGATATATGACCCTGATAATCTTGAATAGATTTCATAATAAAAGGATTCAGCCTTAAATATTCCAGAATAAAACTTTGATCCCCCACTGTGGAACTGTGGACCCCCCTACCCTATAACTATATATGATCTGAACAAATGTAAATCTGCTCTTAACTATCTCAGAGTGACTAATCATGACCTGCCTATTCTTGAAAAGAATTAAGATTTAAGATTAAATTTTTTGTCTACGAATTACTATCGTTCTCTCTACTTTATTGCTGTACTCTATTTACATCAATAACATATCATCACTAGTAATCAACATACCTTCTCTTTGGACTTGACATCCTTTCCTAGATTCTCGTGGTTGAAGCTTTCATCAGATAATTTGTTTTGTTACAGCTGAACTACAAATATGATTAATAAGTTAATACAATCCTCTAAATTTAATTAATCCAAATAACATAGAAGCATTTGCAATTATGTGGGGAAAAAAATGAATGAAAAATACTGACAAATATCAATGCACTACATGCAAATCAGAAAAATATGTAATGCAATCATTTACAGTCTGCATAATATGCTGATGTATGTATCAGCATAATTTTCAGTTCATTAAAATTGTTTGCTGAAACAGACAACCAACTGTATTTATAAAGTCTCTTTTAATGGATTGGATTTTCTTCTGTCTTTGAACTTACATGTACTGTTATGTAGCATGATGTGAGAATTTTTTCACCCATTCTTTATCATTAAAGTAATTCTGCTGAAAATAGGACAGAATGTGATTAAATCTTTTGAGAATTAAACAAAAACAAAAATACTGATGCATGATTTTCAATTATATTGACCCTTTTATCAACATCTCTCTCTCTCTAACTACATATAACTTTACACAGGATTCTTTTATACATTGATATACATGACATTGTACATGTAGATATTGGAGTAATTGGGCATGCTTAATATTTTTTCTTTGTTTATTCCAATCAGCATGATCAGGATGGTAATACCTAAATAATAATGTTGCCTGTTAAATGTTATAAATTTATCCTTACAATTACATATACAATACTCACAACTGTCAACAGTCAAACCTTGAACTTTCACATTACTGTCTTCAGAGTATATCCTGCAAGAAACAGTCATTGCACATTATAATTGAATTGATTTGATTTTCTTTTTTTATATTTGCTTTTTATTATTATTATTTTAATGAAATTATAATTTTTGTGCATTTAATACAGTATCATATGCATACATATTGAAGACCATTTTTAAATTCAAACAACAACAATGTCATTCTTCAAAAGAAAAGACATACATTGTATACATGTAAAGATCAGCAAAGCCCATATTTGAAAAGTGGAAAACAAAATTTTTTCTTGTGTGTATAATTTGTGTGGGATGGTGCATATCATTAAAAAAACAAACAACAAAAAAGGACGGAATGTCTCGATAGCTGATTTTACAATGCAAGCTAGGCTAAAAAATATTTGAAGGCCAACGTGACTGGGATCAGTGTTTTTTTTATCTAGGCTAGTACATGATAGGGGGCATCTGTCTTTTGGGTCAGGTCTATGTATAACAAAATACAATTATAGTTGGGCTAGTAACTTGACAGGCTTGTTTCAAAGTTCTGTCATTTTGGAATCCTGTTTTGTTTAGATTAATTATTTGTCCAACTGTGTATCACATTAAATAAACAAAATATAACTATTACATTTATCATGATTAAGGTCTTCCGTCTTCAGCGGAAGACCTTTCTGTTATTCTTAGTTTTCTTTTCCACAGTTTTTATTATTTTTTTCTTACATATTTTGTGCATGCGAGAGGACTGATAGAACATCAAAAAATCTAGGTATATATTTTTTTGTTTTGATGACGTCACTTCCGGTTCGGAGATTTCTGCGATTTTGTCATTTTTAGAGGGTCACTTTGTCCGGCAATGTTCTCAAAAACCATTGAAGATAGAAGTGTGAAATTTTCAGGGAAGCTAGAGCAACCTTTTGAAAAGTGCCTTTTGTATATAACAACTACCGAAAGTACAAAGCGCCGACGCTCGCTATGGCCCGCAAATAGTCCTATCAAGAATTTCAAAATTTTTAACACCTTTTCTACGATAACATTTTACCTCGAAATATTTTGTTAAAACATGTAGAACAAAAGAAGTGTAAAATTTTAAGGTCCTTCAAATGATATCTCGAAAAAAGGGCTGGCCCCTAAAATTTAGGGTCTAGAGGGACCGAAAGTTTTTCCTTTATATCTCAAAAAGTATTGAGAATTTGTAATATGTCAAAGAAGCAAAGTTGTTCAAAATTTCAAGCTAAATCAAGTGGCGTCGTCAAAATGCGTCCGTCGACGTCACTTCCGGTCATACCGGAAGCGTAGGAAATTGCATATTTTTGCCGTTCTTGACAAGTTTTGGGGTAACAACTGTCATTGGAAGCTGAAAACCTTATTTTCCGTCCGTCGATATCACTTCCAGTCAAAACATAAGTAGCCTAAAATAGCTTATTTTTGAAGTTTTTGACGCATAATTGAAATTATAAAGTCACTGGAGACTACTTAGCTCATTGCTTTCTTTTGTTGACGTCACTTCCGGTCAAAACAGGACGGAAGACCTACTCGTTGCTTTGCAACGAGCTTTGCTCTAGTTATTATTACTATGGTTTTGGGTCAGTCTCTTTTTATTAAAATCTAGTAGCCAGTGGGATAGTAATATTATGATGAGCTGACCAGTAAAGAGCCTGAGTGAGCAGTTAAAGAAAACTATTTCTAGTCTGGGCCTACAATGATTTCACATTTGTGCTTCATGATAATACATTTTCTAAATTCAATAATGTCTGTTTATTACCTTATAGGGTCAATTGTGTTATTTTTGTCATACCTGGAAATGGCTGTTCAAAATGTACTCTAGCCTGCAATAGACGAACAAAAAAGAAAATTACTTTTCATTTAACATATTGAAATAATTAAACAATATGTAAATAAAATACCTGTGTTCTTACAAACAAAAATGCAAAACATCAATGTAAATTATCTTAAGCAATGTCTTTTCATTACACAGATTGATGCATGAATGCATGTAATTTATTATACCCCCCGCTTGAAAAGCGGGAGGATATATTAAGTAATCGGTAAGTCCGTCCGTCTGTTATGCTTTGGTGTACCCATCTTTTATCCGCTAATTCCTCTCATACCACTGAGTGATATTTGATGATTTTCACAGAATCTATATTACATATTGCAATTGTGCATCTTCTATTTTAATTTTTGATCCACCACATATTTGGGGTTTCCCAGAGCAAAACATAGACACAGTCATTATATTCATATGAGAAGCGATGGGTATCATTTAGTGTCAGAGCTCATTGCTCACAGTACCTCTAGTTTTATAATATTCATACTATATTTCAGTAGCTAGTTTTAGATGGGCAATACTTTAAAAGGGAAAATAGTGGTACACATATAGAAATATTCAAAATTTTTCATAAACTGCATAATTTTATGTGATTGATTGATTGTATATGTTGTTATAATGTCCCTCTCAAGAATTTTTCACTCATATGGAGACGCCACCACTTGCCGGTGGATGTCGGCTACAAATTTTGTCCTATGCTTGGCAATGAGGGCCTTTGAGCAGGAAGGGATCTTTTTTGTGCCAGCACCTACAGCGACACGGGGCCTTGGTTTATATGGTCTCATCCGAAGGACCACCCGGTCTCCACGTCCCACAGTGGGATTGAACTTGCGACGTAAGGAATGACTCCTTACTTCCCGACTCTAGAGCAGACGCTCTAATCACTGCGCCACGCGGGCGACAACTGTATATGTGAAGTTTCATACCTGATAGAAACACAAGTATGTGAGAACTGCATTGACATCATCTGATCATAAATTCTATGATATTAAATTACTAAATTAGAAAAGTAACAACCATATTTTGATCAGTAGGCTATAGTGAAAACTGCATGATTGATATAAACAGATGACACTATTAAAACTGCAAACAAATGTAAACAAACTTTTAATCCTTTATCCAGGTACATGTGTATAATGTGTAGAGGAAATTCGGAATAACTTCTTGTGTATACACACGAGTACGGATAGAAATAAATTTAGTCTCTTGGTATTTGAAAAAACACATATGGTTCTCACAATTCACTGGGTATTGATAAGTAATAATAATGACTTTTATACGCGTAACTCTGCATATGCATGCATAGCAAACTACAAGTAGGAACGAACTATAGCACACCTGCATTTTCTCTTCAATTTAAAACATGCTATTAACAGCATTTGACAAACATGTCCTAAAATATTTAGCCATTTTATGCTACAGGTAATCGAAAAAATAAATGAAATTCTACTTACGAGTGTTTTTGTTTACTAAATCAATGTATGTGGGTTAATCTTGACCGACATAAACTACTCCCTTCCACGTGGAAACATGTTTACAAAATCGAGAGGTGCTGTTTTGACACTTTAAAGTTCAATAGCACTTGACATAATAAGAAATTGCTAATCTACTTTCACTTTTAGGGTAAAGAAACGTTTGTTATTCAACTTTTTGCAATTTACAAATCTTATAAATCGAGATAACATAAAATTTTACCTCTTTTTTAATATATTCGATCAGTGCATACTATTTATGCAAGATATATTACTGCGGTACTACGAATCACCGGAATGCCCTGTAATCACCGAAATGCCCCAAGAAATCACCGAAATGCCACCGAAAAGCCCCTTATATTGTTAAGAATAAACAAAAAAATAATAAATATTGATGAAATTAACTGTTCTAAAGCCTAGATACCAAGTAAAAATTTCATAATTTTAGCGTTAGTATTTTTATTTGAAGATATGTGCATGTAAGTATCAAAGAAAGATAACTCTCACTGATTAAAGACACGTGCCAAAATAGTTTATTTTATTTTTCCCTATTTTTTGTTTAAATATATTCCTAACAATAAGTTATTATTTTATAAAATGTTTGTTTGTAATATTATTGACGTATTTTCCTGATTTCTAAAAAAGGAGGACACGTGTAATTTTACTGGAAAGTAACATTTATAATCAAATAGAAAGATTTTACGTTTATAGTATATAAACAAAAATATATGCCATATTTTTCGTTTAAATATATTCCTAACAATAAGTTATTATTTTATAAAAATTTTGTTTGTAATATTATTGACGTATTTTCTTGATTTCTAAAAAAGGAGGACACGTGTAATTTTACTGGAAAGTAACATTTATAATCAAATAGAAAGATTTTACGTTTATAGTACGTAAACAAAAATATATGCCATATTTTTCGTTTAAATATATTCCTAACAATAAGTTATTATTTTATAAAAATTTTGTTTGTAATATTATTGACGTATTTTCTTGATTTCTAAAAAAGGAGGACACGTGTAATTTTACTTGAAAGTAACATTTATAATCAAATAGAAAGATTTTACGTTTATAGTATATAAACAAAAATATATGCCATATATGACTTTAATCAAAATTTATTTTTTATTCACTGAACTATAAGACTAAATGCTTGGTATAATCAGGGACTTATATATGTCCCTTGTACATCGTTTAATTTACAAGGATCGAAGGAAATGGTTGATCGTGTATTATAAATATTACATGTATGAATTAAAGTTTTGCTGATCTAATTCGTAAATTAATGACATTATATTATGTTCATACTATTTCTGAGGAAAATAAATCATTATACACTTCGCAGGTAGGTTAAGGTTACAACCAAATATTCTACTTGCCTATATGATATGACGTCATAGTAAGCTATATGACGCGAGGTTTAGAGATAATAATTTCTTAAAATCGATATCTAAGATTGATTTGAAGTCGTAAAAATGAATTTAAATATGCAGAGGCATAATATAAACGGAAAATTGTCGCTCCTGGGCCTCTGTAGTTATGACAGGGGTTACATACCAAACCCGTGACGTCATAACTGTTGATCATGTAGTAGCAGAGTGAAAGTGAATCGTAACGAGAATTGATGTAAACAAACACAAGAAATTGGAGTTTAAAAGCATTAAGAATGAATATCATGTGAGATTCTTGTGGGAATAAAGCGTATGAATAAGGTATGGTAATATAATTTTGCTATTTCTTCGTAAAATTATAGCAGGGAGGGTGTTTACTTGCCGATCAGCCTTTCCTCTGTCGTTCGTAACAAAACAGATGCAAAAGTTCAACACTACGCCGCATACCTTGAAACTTAATTTTTATTTCTATCTAAAGTTCTTATTCTTTTGTTTTTGGAAAGTGCTGCTAGAATCGTATGGTTTACGGGAATTGATGCTTTTTTTTCAATGCTATGAACAAAATGTAAAAATTTTGGGAAGGTTTCGTCCGAAATTGTTGAATAATTATTTCTGTAATAGGACAGTACGATTCTAGCAGCAATTTTCATGGTACAGAGATGATTTTACATAACTTTTGTTACAAATTAAAACTAATTATCCCCGGGGTAGTGTTAAACTTTTCACTTTTTCATTAAGGTATATTTTCTAATTATAGACGTCACGTGGTGACGTCGTGGTGAAGTGCCTCCTGTAGTATATATAAGTCCCATTGAAATCTATAGAATGCATAATTATAGCAAAAGTTTTATCCTTGACTTTTCCGATTTATTAGTGTTACATAATTTAAAAAAATTGTTAATTCGCCGAATTCTGATCCATGTGCTGCCTTAATATACCCGCGTTTTTTTTCATTTCAGCACAGAAAAGAACTGCAATATTGGAAGAAATTTAATAAAATCTATAAAAAATATGAATTTATTTCTTTTTTGTATATATATATATAAGATAACAAACTTTTTTGGAAGTTTCATATTTTACAATAAAAGATAAAAAAAGAACGAAGACGAAATTAATTTGATTTTATTGTGTTCAATGTTCAACTGGTTTGAAACAATTGGATATCTGAAATAATTATGTTTACTGTGTATACACAGTGATTAAATAGTTGATCTAGTGACAGGTGTGTAGTATTCTTATGTCATGTTACATAATCAGGTACATGACAACCAGTGACCGAAATTACGCACGTGCGCTATACAAACACAGGAAAGGGGATCTTTTGCTAATGATCAGCTAGTTTACTACATCAATTGAAAATGAAATAGTAAAAGTTGACAATTTACTTTAATTTTTTTTTAAGTTGTTGAATGTGTTTAATACACACATTACACGATTTATCAAGCACTTGCTACTTCCGAAATATTCGCTAATATACAAGAGAAACGATCCGTAATTGACCTGACTGACAATGTATCTAATCAATTGCAAGTAACAAATTAAAATTAATATTTATTTTAAAAAATGAAAACATTTTCATTGCTTAACGAAGTACAGAGTAAAAAAAATTTTTTTTTTCCTTTTGTGATTGCATTTGTCTTTTGAAAATCTTTCATATCGATCGTAAATTATCACAGGAGTTGGTCTACCGGTATCTTCTCTCTCTTTCTCTCATTTTGTTTGGTAAAACATAAACTTTATAGTCCTTAAAATTATATATATTTAATAAAAGATAAATTTACTCCATAAATAATGACGGGTATTTAGATTTTACCGCCAGACCTACATGTATTTCCCCAGACAGGCGTCGGCAGGCGTATAAATGGTCCAACCTGGTTCACAAAAAGTCAATTAAAAAGGAAGAAAGAAAAAAAAAGAAAATGGACACAAACATTTAATTTAAAAAACTTAAACAAATCAAAATTCCCCAAAACTTCAGCTAGTTTAAAAAACAGTGTTTGTATGATATAAGTATCTGTAATATAATAGCATGTGCACTTGACTATAAACATTAAGACTAGGAACCTATACAAACCATATTTTTTTATATTACTGTATTCAGCGGCGGCTCACACAAATTGGTCCGACCAAAATAGTTCCATCATGATAAGTAGATACAACATTATTGTTCACGATAAGAGTAAAGTTGTGTATGTCATACGTTAAAGAAATCAACAACAACGTCAAAATATTATTAGAAAGTCACTTTCCCCCCGAAATGTAAATAAAAAATATCAATATTCCTACGCTCGCTCCCTCCTCAGCCTTTTTTTTTTTTTATTACATGTTTGATAACAGAGAATATTTAGGTCATTCTTCGATTCATATCATTTCACCGATGAATTGATAATACTATATCAACAATTGTATTAAGTACATGTTTATAGTCCGTTAATTATCATACAATTTCTTCTTAAAGAAAAAATTAATCATTCTGTGTGTGTGTATTATTAAATGACGGAATTTTCAATCCCTGGATTCTGTTCCTGTGTACACTTTGTAAACTGTAGGGTATGTGTGGCAAAACGAGAACTGGGTTGGAGATTCGGGTTCGTGTTGAAGTTCAGCATACCATTTCATATAGAACTTGAATAATGTAAGTAATTTCTGCGACGAATACATTAGTATATTTCAGTAATTTTCAAAACAAAACAGGTTTTCAGTTTAGAATTTTCCGACCCGGTCCTGATTTTCCTAACCCGGCCATTTTAAACACAAGTTGTTGCAGATGCAAATGTTAGAACAAACTATATATAGTTCAACAGGGATTGTATAATTTTTATGAATCAGAATTCGTATTCATATGATCTAATTAAGAAAAGAAAAGTTTTGTCTGCCATCGTAACTTCTCGGCAAAACAAAATGTGTTTCTCCGAGCTCGCTGGATGCGTTTGACAGCTCCATCGCACGTGTGTAGACCAAGGCTAATGTTGGTCTTGCGGACACAGGTACATGTACATGTAGGCCTATGTGTACTGTTTGTTAGGAGACTGAGTGACCGTAATGCTATGGACTCACGAAATTTACAACAGTTCTATAATTAGACAGTGCAGTTTTTTTTATTAACGTCATTATAAACACTGTTAAACATATTAAATCTAAAAGTCGAATATCTTTGGATATGGGGTAACCCATATCTATTCTTGTTCATGTTGAATTTCTCTCTCGATTTTCACCTGTAGCATGTTGGTCTCGCTGAATTCTCGCGAGGAAAGCTGTTCGGACGTTTACGGATTTTGTTCATATCTTATTACGTTTATCTCCGAATTCTTTTGATTTATGCTAATGAGGTTAGGAGGTGTGCACTCGGGTACGTAAATTACTAAAATTTAGAGCACCCGGTGGTGGAATTGTAATTGTTATTCCGGATTTTTATATTTTATTTGTCGATATTGGTTTCTTATTTTAGAATTTAGACACGCTGCTTGTATTTTTCCGATATTTGAAGAGCCAAAGAGTAAGTTTTATCAAGTGCATTTGTTCATGATATATGTTTAAGGAATCACTGTCTAGTTAGGAGGGTATGTCAGGGCATCAACAATAGTGGGAAACATGGGATAATTTGCATAACGGGCAAAGCCATAATTGATCATATTTATGTGGAAGCATCCTCATATAGTGTAGATTGAAGTTTGTTCAAATCATGACCCC